TCATGGAAAGTTCTTTAGTGCGCTAGCAAAATTACTATGTGAAACCGAAAATAACGGGATCAAATGTATACAATGTAACCAAACACGAACCTTGGTCCGGACTTTTATGTGTGAAAACGCCCTTAATCATCTAACTTAATGTCAGTACATTCCCTCTTTGTTTTTTGCCACAGTACAGCTCTACAGTTGTACTATTAATATTTTTTAATTGTTTCAGGTCCCCTAATACGACTACTGACAGGGTTTGTTTTCCTCTAATAATTTCAGCAGCAGGACGTGAAGCCCCATGGTGTCAAATTCTTCTTTTTACTGTTTGGTAGCATTTTTGTGAATGAAATCTGCCCACAGATGGAGAAGAACAGGTAGCTTTATATGACAATTTAGGGGCGTTGTTTATGCCAGTAGTGAAATCTCACAAATGTAAACTTAGTCATGAACAGGGGGTGTCCAGCAAGTCAAAATGAGAAATTTACCACGAGCTTGTGCAGTTAATAGAGTTTGTTGAGTTTTACTTGAACCCCTTTTATGAGCAAACCTGACAGAAACAAGTAAGAGAGGTTCAGGATAAGAAACAAGAAGCAAGAGGCCCACGGAAGGTTACTGATGCACTTTTTAAAACTATTTAACATACATCTTGTACTTTAATTGCTAGAATAACTCAAAATAAGGCAGCAAAAGTAATTTTCAAATGGTACTTTGTAATGCTGTAATTCTGTGTCTTCACAGCCAAACGGGCAAAGTCATACTCCAGCCTGATGAACATCCAGGACAAACTGAGCTGAAGAGGAGACAGGAGATGACGAACATGGAGGAAGGCGTTCTTTTATTAAAAGTTAAAACCTGGGAGAAGATCTGACTTCCTCACTGTGTTGTGCTTGAGATTTGACTGAACTCCATGAATGTAGAGGACTCAACAGCCGCTGTGTTTCCCCCCAGAACACTGTGATATAAGTCAGTCTTCTTCAGAGGTCTTGAAGGATCTAGATCCATGAAACTGAATCTGAAATGCTTCGGGCCCATTAAACCATTACGCTTTTTTATACCTCTAAAACCTTCTCAAAATGTAGTAAACGGCGTTGGATCACATTAAAGGAAAAACTGAACAGATTTTTACAGATTTCTAGCAAAACAAACATTGAAGAAAAAATATAGAAATTGTGCACAGACTGTGTTTGAGTCTGCCTCCCACTACCATAGTTTAAAACCAGCTTTATTTGGTGTCATGTTATGACATTTTGGATCTCTATTAAGCAGGACCTGTGTTGGAATCAAAGCCTGTCTAACTTTATAAACTACTAATCAGATGCTTTTTCATGTTGCTGCACGGTATGCTCGTAATCCTCACACAGATCCCGGCCTCGCCTTCCTTTCAACTCGTTAACGATCTGCAGGTTGTTCACTGTCACTAGAAAGAGTGAGTGGCTTGAATGCAGTGCGTGCATGCGCGTGTGCGTGCAAGTGAGCTAATGTGTGTATGTGCTCTATTTATGGGTCGAGAAATGGGTTTTTCTGTCTCTAATGTATGTCCCAAAAGAAGCTGCAAAAAGGAAGCACTTGATGTCCATTAGTGGTGACATGTATCTGCTGTAAGGAGGGGGGGTGCACATCAGTGGGGTGGGGAGTAAATAAAGACATAACACACATAATGTAAGAGCACTCCAAAGTACCACACTATGATGTTACCTGTTTTCCAGTCAGTGTTTTTTTGTGGTTGCATTAAGCTTTTAATGCGCTTTGTTGTCGTTTTCCACTGATGTTTAACTTAATTTGTTAAGGGTTTCTGACTGCTCATGGCGGTGAAGTCTCCTTTATGAGTTACGGGTGTTGAATTGATGAATTTGCCTATTAGAAATGCATTTGTTGTGAAGAAATGTACACCTCATTATGAATGCATACGCCCCAAATAAATATTTGTCTGCCAGAAACAACCTGCAGATGCATGTGCTGTAATTTAACCACAACCAGCTTAGTGGAAAGTAACTAATCTTGAATATTTCCACTTTATATCTATAAAATGTAACTAAATTTACTGCACAGTACAAAGTTTGAGGTACATATGCTTGAGTATTTCCATTTTATGCAACTTTATACTTCTACTCCACCACATCTCAGAGACAAATATTGTACTTTTTACATGACTACATTTGTCCGACAGCTGTAGATTACAATTTTTCATACCATTCATTATCATTGAAAACCATGTTAAGCTGATGTGTTTTTCTGGGCACTATTTAAAACCAGCTCAACCTCAGCAGTAAAGTGCAACACACACTAATGCACTGGTAACAGGAAAAACACCATAATAGTAAAACACTGAGTACTTTTACTTTTGATACTAAGGATACAACTGAAATATTTGAATGCAGGACTTTTACTTACAGTGGAGTGCTTTCAGTGTGTGATATTAAAGGAAGGAGGATCTGAATACTTCTTCCACCTCTGGTGTCTAAAACCCCTGCAGCAAGCTGCAGTGACTGCAGTTACATGATGTCTAATGAGTCCGTGTTGTAGTTAAACCTGTTTCTTCACACAGGAATGACCCCTTGTTCTCAGGTTACGTGGCCTTGTGTGTTTCTTGCAACGAGGCTTTTCCCTCCGTCATTAGCAGCTAATCTAAATGTGGGATAAAGATACTTGGCCGAATAATCGCAGCATCACATCCGTTAAACTCCTTTGGCTTTTTGGTCTTGTGGAGCGCAGCCACTGCTGGCCATCAGCAGGTCTAAGAGCATTACGGATATGCCGAGTCATATGATCCGGTTGCGGCCGGCAGAGCCGCTAAAAACACGGGCTTTTTGTCATCGGCGCTCCCGCACGGTGGAGTGTGTTGAGCGGCTCGTGTGCGGCGCGGCCCGGAGCTCAAGAATGACAGCTTTGATTCCTGTTAAGCCTCCGTTGCTTTTTTTCTGAGGCGCACCGGGGTCCTTAAGCGGGGCTGAAAGTCATGAAATACTCCCGGCAAAATTGACCGGAGTGAGGGCCGCCACGTGAATGAGAGAACCGGTGGAAAAGCTGCAGCTGCCCCCCCTTAGTGATTGAGTGGAAGTATTCTGACCTTATACGTCAATGAAAGTAGTAATTCCACAGCCTAAAAGTACTCTTTTAGGAGTAAAAGCCCTGCATTCAGAAGCAAAAGTGCATAAGTAGGCAGCAAATTTACTTAAATGAAGTACAGGTATGCGTCTATTATTATTATTATTATTATTATTATTATTGTATTATTAGTATTTTATTGTTATATTATTAGCCCATTTATGTTAATTAACATGAGCAGTACTTTAATGTTGTAGCTGGTCAAACTGGAGCTAATTTTGACTACTTCCCATTTTGGTAGTTTATTACTTTATTAACTGATCATATGTTTCATACAGTTTTATTCTGAAAAGAAACTAGTAACTATAGGACTATATTGGAAAAAAAGTGGAGTAAAAAGTACAGTATTTCCTCTTAAACTGTAGAGGAGTAGCAGAAAATTGAAGAACTCAAACTGTACTAAAGTACAATTTTAAATGTACTTAGTTACTTTCCACTATTGCTGTTCAGTGGGTTAATTTACAACAATGCATCATGTTGCCTAAGCTGACTACTTTTATATGTTAGATATTAATCTGCAAAGTAACTTGTAACAATAGCTGTTAAATAAATAAAAAAGTAAAAAGTACAATATTTCCATCTGAACTGTGGTGCAGTAGAATTATAAATTGTGTAGACTTCACATACCTCCAAACTGTAGCTAAATACAGTGCTTGAGTAAATGTACTTAGTTACTTCCCACACTTTCCAACATACTAAAATGGATCATTATATCACTTGAACAGGTCTGCGTCCAAAAAAGATTGAGCAGTCTGGAGCTGTAAAGTGCCTAGTGAGTAAGTGTGACTCATTCTGAGGATTTTTGATTTATATATTTAGTTCTTCACATCTAGCAAAAAAGCAGTATTTTGGTAATGTTTGATTGTTAACATGCTTAGTTTCCTAGACGGTGAATTTTTGTTTTTGCCGCAAAAAATAAACATCCGTCCATTTCATGATGTGTCAAGTGTGCACAAATTTATACATGTTTGAACAGCCACAAAGCTACATTTATTGTTTTATATGGGCTGCATTATGTGCATTTGTTTTGGCCGCAGTTTATGATAAAATGCAGTGATGAAGGCATCTGATTTACATTCTCACTGAACTGACTGCAGTGCAGCAACAAATACAATCCATCAGTAATCATAGCTAATGCCATGCATAATTATTGTACACCTAATCCACTCACACAGAGCTTTGATAAGAAAAATGACTTCGAGAATAATACTATTGTAAGTGTGACAGTTTATGTGGAAGAAATTAATATGATTTTGTAAACTGACTCATATCGTGCTCTAGTTCTCAGTTGGATTACTGTGGAAAAAAATGTGCTGAGGTTTAAGTCTTGTAAGAAACAATGAAAATCTCAGTTATTGTAAGATGACTTTGCACCAAAGACAGAAATGACCAAATACATAATGACCACTAGAATGGACAGTTTATTGCATATCAATTAACACTCAAAATGGTGAGAAATGTGTCTTTGAATTAGACATCGTAGCCTTGCATAGCTTCATTTTCATGCTACAGTGCTAAATGCAGTAATCTATCACCTCCAGTACATCAGCAGTGTTCAGGGATGTAACAAACTAACCTGTAATAACCTGTTTATTTCAAAACTACATTCAAACAGTTTTTAATAAGTGTAAGTTTTTATTAATTCATTTCTAGAAAGAAGTTAACAAGTTACTCATCATCTAAAAACCTCTTCATATAGAGCAGTTGTTTGATAAAATCACTGTGTGTGGTACCAATTAATCAGTTATCTATAACATTTTTTTCTCATGGACTCAACCATTCATGCCATTTCCTTGTGCTTTTGTAATGTGTAAATTGGTTAGTTGACTTATTTATAGCCGAGGAGGGAGTGAAGCAGATGAATGTTGGACGGCTGAAGCTGATGTTTGAGTGGCTAAGCGATGACACAAACCTTTCCTCAGACCTTGTCTGATGAGACTTGAATACTGTAAGAGACTGGCAAGTGGCCTCTGCTGCACAGACCTTGAGATCATTTAGATTTTTTTTTTTTCCTGTAATAGCTTCAATGTTTTCCTGCGTCTGTGTTTGTCAGTGCCCCTCACGCTCTCTTAATATTTATAAGTTTAGAGGCAACAGGGTAATGTTGGGCTAAAAACTGTGTCTCTGTTTGCAATAGATGCTCCAGCGGGCAAAACATAATTCTCTTTGCACAAGTTACCTTGACACAAGGTCAGTACATTTCATATTTGATAGAAGAGTAGAGGGATGCTCTTCATGTTGTTTCTGAATCTCGCCTTCAGTTTTCATTTTTAAATGTAATTCTTGTTAAATGACTGTTTTGTTCTTTGACAAGGTCACAACCTCCTCTAGATGAAATGCCTTTGAATATTCTGCTGTCCTCTACAATCATCCTCCACTGTTCTGTAGTCTGTACAGTGAATCCTATGTTACCTAGCAGCGAATGTCTCATTCGTTATGGCAATATTAAGAAACTGTTAGTCAGGGCTTAAGTTGTTATGCAACCCCCCCACCACCAACAACACTCTAAGCTGTCAGTTAGTTAACTGGCTGAAGGTCAGTCTTAGATTATGCACCTCTCAACCCCTGAGCAATGAATATGATGCTTTGTTGAACAAGGAGTAAACATATGCCCCTGGGAGTAGGAATTAGCAGACACACACACATGCACCCTCTCTCACAGAGCATACGCAGAGTGAATGGGGCTTATTATACACCTGCGAGTGGGGTCAAAGTCTGTCAATCCCTAGCTTATGGTATTATGATAGATTATAGAATCACTCTCTAATGGCAGTCATTCAGTTTGTAATCTCAGCAGCTTGATGCAAAAGCACTCAGCGTTCCAAGCTAAGGGTCTGTTGAAAATAAGGCCTTCTCCTCATTCATCCCTTACTTCCCCCCTTTCACAAAGGTCTTATGACAAGTCAGCTGTTGGTGACATCACAGATGCTGGATCATATGTCAGAAACCTTTGCTGGCTGACTTACATCCATTGTGGCTCAGCAGCAACTGAGGCCACTTGAGGCCAAAAGAGCGGCGAGGTTGCCCCAGGGGGTGAGGGGGCAAGCTGCCAACAGGCAGGAAGTGTGTGTGGGTGTGTGTGGGAGGGGGGCACTTCTCAGGGCAGGAACATCTGACCCATGTGTGGGTTTGTTTGTGTAGACAACCAGAGTGCCCATCTTTCCATCAGCTTGAGAAGACATTTATCATTTGTGTGGAGTGTGTGTGTGCGTGAATGAGAGAGTCTGGATTTTGTGCATGAGAGTCAGCGGATGTCTGTTTCTGAACAGCACACATGTGGGAGAGAAATCTATGTGTGTATGAAACATGCCGCTTGTCAAAAATTAAACTATTCAAATTTTAGTTTGAGGAACATGAGTTGGATTTTGATCACAAGACAGTAGCGCCACCTAAAGTCAGCTTTTTAATATAACAATGCCACTTATTTTCCTGTAAAGTAAGCTTTTATGTTGTTGTTGATATTAAAGCCCTTACATAGCTATGTTTACTATTTAATGGTTTAATGATACTTTCCCCTGGGACACAGCAGAGAATACACTGAATCAATATTGCATGAGCATAAAATCTATTTATTATCCATTCATATACTATGTGCATCTACCTGTTTCTTTGGACTTTTAACTGCTGTTTATGTTTATCAGTGTTTATCTGTGTTTGGGATAAGTTATCATGATTTTTGCGAACAGTATAGTTCCCTTTGAAATATAAAATTTAATTTGTTGTTGCATTGTTTTGACAGATACATTTATTTTGGTCTCAAACTCGGTTATCTCCTATTGATTTAAAAATAATAATGAAATCATCCTCTCTCTCTCTCTCTCTCTCTCTCTCTCTCTCCCTCCATTCAACTGTCACTGTCAAAAAAAGACATTAAAAAAGCCTGAAAAATGTTCAATTGTATTTAGAGTTAGGGTTCTTTTTAAACACGTACCTCTCCTGTTAAAAGGCTATGTGTTATTGTAATAATTACCTTAATGTCCATCATAGAGCTTTGCCAATAAAACAAGTGTCAAAAGATTTAATGCAAAGCTATTTAGAAAAGTGTATTTTTGGAGAACTAACAGGGACAATATTGGTGTTGTACAGCCCAAAACTTTCTTTGAGTTAAACAACTTACTGCTTAGAAGTATTGGAAGCAAGATGCTGCCACCAGATGGCAGCACCAAGCCATGTATGAGAATCCAGACTGTGTTTCACTCTCTCTGCATTGCTACTACTGCAATGTTCACATTTTCTTGCTGTATAAAAACATGTTTTAGTGGTAAAACACACATACAAGCTTGAACCGGTGCCTTGTTCTCTGTAATTGGTGGATCAGCATCTGCAAGTCAAGTTGTCTCATGGGTTTCTTGTAGCTACAAAAATACTTTTTAATTCAAACTTTTAGAATTATATTATCTTTGCATTTAAGATACAAAGCCAAAACAACACTTGTAAGTGGTGACCAGGTTATGAGCGTAAAAAGAGTTTGTAGTCAAAAAACTACAAAAAAAACTATGTGCAAGGGTTGGAGCCAGAGTGCACCGACAGTCAGAACATAAAGAACATCACATTTTATAAACTGGTCACTTTCTGGGTTTCTTGAAAACTATTTTTTTGTTTTTTTGTTTCTCAAGTCCTGTTTACAAGCATGACAGAAGAGCTCCGAGCTTGTGAGGAGCACATGAAGGCAGCACTCATCACTCTGGTTGCTCTGTCGCCATAGCAACGGTAACCAAACAGACCGCGACGATACAGACCTGCTAGTTTTCTTTTTGAGCTATTTTCATCACTGGTTACAGCATTTAACTGGTTATTTCTGTCAGTAATTTTGTACATAATATACTGTCGATATGGAAGAAGTCGATATGGATCCAGAAGAAGGGTCTGACACCTCTGTGTTGTCCGAAAATCAAGAGGCTCAGAGCGGGTATCAGTTTTATTCTGCATGGACTTTGTAACTTTGTATTTTGTAACGTTATTATTCTTTGTTTTTTATCATGCTTCGCTTTCTGTCGAAATACAACTGGTATATTGTACACCATTAGGGTCTCCATACAGGAGGATAACCCCAGTGCGAAGGTGAATATGGAGGTCAGGGAGGAGACATGGGAGTTTCAGCTTCAAGAGGAGGAAGAGGAGGAGGGGGAGGAGAAGGAGGAGGAGGAGGAAAGTGAAAAGGTTTGTTGAGTTTCCAAACCCTATTTCATTAATCAAAACACAAATCAAAAGTCACCATTCTGTTTCCCAAGGATTAACAGAAATTCTGTCTGAAATGATTCATCTCAAGTATTCATAGCTTCCTTTATTTGACATTACAAGAAGGGCAATATCGCACACAGCTACAAGAATGTCAAGGATAACTGAACTGAATTAAATATTTTTAACATCAAACATTTTTTGCCTGATTGTAGCACTGTCTGTTTTTTAAACCAAGCAATTAAAAAAATAAATAAAAAAAGATAAGTAGGGGCAAAACCAGAGCTCTCAGTTGAACATCATTTCCAAAACGGGCAATAGGTAAGTGTCGTATCAGTCAAAAATAGCTACTGGTTATATTGCTTTTACAGCTACAGTTTTACTTGAGTGCAATTTCCTGACCCGTATTCACACTACTAGATAAATCAGACTTAATTAGCAGTGCCACAACGTGAATAGAAACTGTTCTCCTTTATGTCAGCTGGTCACTCCTCAGAGGATAATCAACCTGCAGAGAGAGTTGCCGACATTAGTGACCAACATCCAAATTGCAGCTGATGCCAAAGAGTCAATGCGAAGGACAGAGCTGGAGGAAGCTCGCAAACTTAGGTAATTTAACATTTATATTATTTATTACTACCTTACATTTGCCCTACACCAACCACTAATATTACTTTAAACCTTGAATGCAGTGTACTTGCCACATCCTCCACACCACCCTTACCCTTTCATCCTTTGTCCCTGCTGTTTGCCACTGTGTTTGTTCTTGGTCCAGATTGGAGCGGCTGGAGAACAATGTAAAATCCAGCCAGGAAAAATTCGAGGAGATCACCAGCGGGTGGTTGGTAGCTAAGCAGAAGGTGATCCCTCAGGAGCTGCAGGAGGCCCTGAACCACCAGCAGCAGTTATGTGCTGCTCTCTTAGAAGACAAGAAAAAACTAATAAATGACCTGCAACAGGTAAATAAAGTCAAACATATAAGCGCCTTTGTATACAAACGTTCACTTGATCACCACTCATGTTTTGTCTGAACAGGAGCTGAAGGTTAGAGATGATCACTTTGTTAAGGACTTGAGGAAGCAGGCAGACGAGCTGGACCTGGTGATGGAGAGGATGGAGGACCAGATTAAAACCCTGACAAAGGCCTATAGGGAGGAGCTGGACCAGATGGAGGTAGGACCAGATCTGGGTCAAGAAGCAGCTTTAAGTAATCATTTATAGAGTTTATTTGAATCTGCAAAGGGAACCAGATGAATGCAGCATTGTCTTGACTGAATTCACACAATTGTCTCAACCTTCTGGATAGCAGGTTGGCTCTATGGATGGCAGTTTCAGTCTGTCAACTGGTCGGTCCACAACTTTGTTCCAATATATCTCAACAGCTATTGGATGGATCACCATGACATTTTGTACAGACATTCATGGTTCCCAGGCGATGAAGGCTAATCACTTTGCTGATCCCCTGACCTTTTCCTCTAGCACCATCATCACGTCAAAATTATAATTTGTCAAAAAAAAAAAAAATGTTGAGAATCAAATTTGTTGAGTAAAATGTAATGTAAAAATAATAATATCAATGTAATGTAATAGTATATGGATTGCAATGAAGTTTGGTGCACAGACTTCTGTTCCCCTTAAATTGAATTGTAATAACTTTGCTGATCCCTGACATTTCATCTAGTGCCATCATCAGGTGAAAATATGTCAGCCTCAGTTGTACTTAGCTAATGTTACCTACTAAACATCAGCTTGAAGGTTAGCATTTAGCTCAAAGCACCACTCAAGTACAACCTCACAGAGTTGCTAGCAAGGATGTAGACTCTTCAGTTTTGTATATGCCATTGTTGTTTATACTAATGGTTGCACTTTTGTTGTTGGTAGAGAGTTTATCAGCAGGAATGTGAAGTCTTACTCACAAGAGACAAGGAAGAATGGGAACAATACATGGAGGAACTTTTGGACAAAGAGGTCAGAATAACTGAAATAAAAAACAACACACACAGAGCCGTGTGTACGTGTAGATTCAACCTTCAGTCTGCTTTCATCTTAAATATGGTCTTATATCTTGTTTGTATCAACTCTGTATCTAATGCTATCTGACCTATCTTTAGCTGGAGAGGCTGACGGAGAGGATGAAGAAAGTGGAGGAGTATGAAGCGATAATTCACAATCTGATGTTGGAGACTACTGAAAAGTACAGCATCTTCCAGATGGACCAAAATTCAAAGTTTCAGGTTAAATATCAAGATGCTTTTATGAGCTCTATTCAACAAAACAATGCTCCTGATCCTTTTCCTGTCATATTTATGTAAATGGAATGATAAAGAACAGCCTCGGAAATCAGTAATATAGTAGATAGTAGATAGTGGTAGTGATTGTGATTATGTTGTCTAGAATGTAAGCCCAGTGTTGAAAGACCCTAAGTGTTATTCTTGCCTCTGCAGGTTCTGGAGAGAGAGAATCATAAGATAAAGACCACCAACTTGATCACGAAGCTAAAACAAATAAAGCAAGAGGATGAGGTGATAGCTCACAAGTTCAACCTGGCCTGTTTAAAGAGCAGGATGGTCAGGTAGTTCAGATTTTTTTTCTCTCTCTTTCTCTCTTCTCTCTCTCTCTGCTCTCTCTCTCTCCTCTTTCTCTCTCTCTCTTTCTCTCTCTCTCTCACACACACACTTATATTTAATTCACTCTGTTTCTTGGGATGGCTTTGTGTTTCAGTCTGCGGACAGAGATAAAAAACCTAAAAGAAAAGTATACCAGTCAGGAGAAACAGTTTTCAAAGAAGAGTTGGTATTTATCGGAGGACTATAAACGCAACATCCTGCAATATGAACGCATACAGAAGAAAATCAAGTGAGTCATAATAATCCTGTTAGTTTAAAGTACTAACATATTGTTTGATTGCTTACAATACCTTATTATATTTTTCTTATTCTTCTGTTTTCTTGACCCCTTCTTCACTTTGTGCAGGCACTTTGCAGTTGCTGATGTCAAAAAATTTGAGGACATGTGGCTAATGATTGAAGCAGAGGTGAAGCAACTAGTAGAGAGGTCTCTGCTCATTGACTCGCTGATCTGCAAGCAGCACCTTGGTTTAGCCTGGGAGCGACCTCCCATGCCCTTCATGGAGCTCTCTGGTCCCATCCAGCCTCAGAAACAGGCCTGGAGGCCCGCCCACCAGGCCGTATCCCAGTCATTTCAAACCGGGCAGGCTTTACAGTGTAGTCAGAGAACGATGGACGCCTCAGTTGGGCCTAGGCTGGAGACTGATGCTGATAGCACGGACATGGAAATGTACAAGGAAGGAACAGCAGTGCAGAGTGAGAGCGGTGCAGAGGTGGAAGAGGGGAAGTTGTCCATGGAGACGCTGAAGAAAGTGATGGAGCTGCTTTGTGATGAGGCGGTAAGAAAAGACTTCAAGATGAATGTTTATTAAGCATTCAGGGTTGCATGCTAGCTGCAGTTTGTTAATCTGTCCCAAGCTGCTGCTGTGGAGCTTGTAGATAAGCTGTAGGCTAATTGAAAGACTCTATGGCTTAGTTTGTAAAAGTGTTACATATGTGAGTCAGTAAGGGGGGTGAAGTTATTGATTATTAGTCACTGTGGCTCAAAAAATACCCCCAATGCTATGAAATTATGTGTATCTTCATCCATAAGTTTCCCTTCTTCCTGTCTCAGGGCTTTCTGATGGAGGATAAACTCCTGAACCTGCTGGCTCCCCTGGAGAAGGAAGAACAGACTGTTGTGAAGCTCGGCTCTCTCCTTTGTGTGAGTTTGTGGAGTGTAATGAATCAGGGTATTGTTGGACTTTATAGAGCAAACCCTGAACAACCAGACATGTTGTTTTCTCTTCCAGGCTTTTGATGTTGAAGGGGAGGATATGCCCAAGTTAGCTCATTTCTTACTAAAGTACAAACATCAGCAGAGGGATCAGAATGAGGTAAGGAGGGAACTAGATGAGGAGTACAAAATATGGCCAAACGAGATGATTGTAATTAAAAAATGAATTAATTTCTGCCTGTCTGTCTGCACTATGCCTTAAGTCATGTGAATCCATTGACAAGGCAGGGGAAGTGGAGAACAACTCTACGACTCACCTGACCTCTGAACTCATTGATCCTAACCATGTTGTGCCTGCTCTAAAAAGTTTCCTCAGGCAGCTCACAAAGACCAGGTAAGACCACATTTACTTAACACTTTGTGTACTTTGATTTTCTTCTTTTTCTTTGATTGTTCTATGAATATGTGATGCTAATGCGTTCCTGGTGCTTTCTAAGGGAGATCTCAGCCCGCCAACAGTCCAGTTTACTGCCTATAAATGCCAGGGATACTTCAGAAGATGAAGCTTACTGGGAGAGTATGAGCAACGTAATCTCTGAGGACAAATTGAAACTCTGGGACGCAGCAGAGAATATACTGAAGCAGTACCAGTGAGTAACAACCACACACACACAAAGCAAACATCCATCTGTATTCAAATGAGTGTTTTCTTTTTTTTTCTGTGTTTCCAGTGCGGTCCTGACAGAGATCTCTGACATCGTCCCTGAGACTCAGAGTCTGGAGCAGCAGAACACAGAGCTGAGGATGCTGCTGCAACAGTCTCTCAACTCAAGCGTATGAGTCTCGGTTTATGTCTTTGTTAAAGTTTGCCTGTCTGTGTCACACTGTTTTACAGATATTCAATTTAAATTCAAGGATTTGAGGGTAGAGAAAAGTAAAAACAGTAACTGTGCATAATATGTTTTTTTAATTATACAAAATGTATTATTATATATATAATTATTTATTATATAAAATTATTATAAAGGTTTATAAATTAGTCACTTGAGATATTAAATCACATTAATTTGCTGATTTCAGCTTCTTAAAGTACCAGTGTGTAGGATTTAATAGTGGCAGATTGCAACTAACTAAACACCCCAAGCTTCAGTATTTGACGACATGGGAATGAGAATGGGCTGTGAAGTGTGTAGGAGAAACTAGTGTGGCCAGTAAAGCTTGCAAAAAACACAAAAGGCGCTATCTATAGCCTGTGTTTAGTTTGTCTGTTCAGGGCTACTGTAGCAATATGCCGAGCAGCGGCATCTGTAGATAAAAAGGTAACAAAATTACGATTTCTATCTACAGGTGATTATACACTAATGAAAATATACCTATTATTATATTGCATTTCTGCCAATAGAGCCTCCTAAATGTTGGACACTGCTCCTTTAAATGTAAAGATTTTATTTGTTTTCTTCTAACGTTTGAGTAGTAAATTGAAAATCTGATAATTCTTTTCTAACATCATCCATTTGATTCCCTGATAGGTCAACACAGAGCTGGAGAACACATAATACATTGTCCACATGGAAACAACAGAGGTTGGACAGTGTGTGAGCCATCATCAGAGTATTTTTATTCACTGTCAAATAAACCTCGTATGAAGTCATGTTGTGATTGCAGTTTTTATTTTTACAGCACCAGAATGAAAAAAATAGGCCGAACAATGAACAGCAACATGAGTAAGACATACAACAGTTCCTGTGGGATGCAAAGTTTATACACAATAGTACAAAGACATACAGTGGTTTCATCCAGCAGGGTTGAATAGCTTGTGGCTGAGCTCTGAGGGCAAAGAGAAGAAGAGCAGAGCCAGGAAGAGCAGGGCCAGCGCAGCAGCCAGCAACACCACACAATGCAGCTTGTAGTTCCTCCAGGCCAGGATACACACCATCCTCACCGGGCTCAGCAGCCACGACATGCTACCACTGGGACGACTGCACACAGACATTCAGAGGTAAAACAGCAGTCATCCATTTTTTACATGTAAAAAGGACAAAGAAATACATCATTTTAAGATCATCATTTTACGAACTCATATCGCTACACGCTATCACTAATTGGGAGTCGTAACTTCAACCTGCAGCTAATTTTTGGCCACTTGGGGGCAGCGGAAACAAGCTATGAACAGAACATTGATACATAACCTTTGAAGTTGATAAAGCAAACTTGTTAGCAAATAGCGACATCCAGCTGACGGAGCAACATGAGCATTCATGGCCCCTTGATGAACGTAAGACCAATATTCACTCTTCTTTTAACTTTGTTTTGGTCTACACCAACTCCTGAGGGAAATATCTGGCTTTTAAGTTGCCTGGGTCGAGATGTTTTTGATTGTGGAGTATAATGGGCTCTTTGTTTCCCTTTGGGGGAAAAAAAACACTCACTACAACTGTGTTTCTTACCAACCATCAATTACCAGTGGTCGTTGTTGGTTGTCGGTTGTTGGATTGGGCAGTCCCAAACTGAGCTAGCTCTTTTGCTGCTATATGTTGACTTTGTCAGCCACTTGATGCTGGGGAGGTAGGATGCAGTGGGGGTTTGCAAAGATTGTTCGCTAGCTTGAGCAGAAAACAACGCTATAAGAGTGAACCAAAGTAGTGAAGTTAAGAGCCAGAAAACCCAAACAATGAGCTGAAAAATGCTTAAAAGCTTGATAGAACGGAGAGGAACAGATAGATTTTGGTCAGGGTTAGTCATGTGATCCAATGTTAATATAGAAATATTGATTATAGCTGCTTTAACAGTCTCAAACAGGTTGTCCATGGAATTCAGTTTATTTCAAATTGCCAAAACAGACAGATAATAAATATTTCACACATTTCAACAGATTTATAAACAGAAATTCATTGTAAAAACAGGCAAGTTTAGTGCAAACATTAACTGGTGAAACACATAATCACAAACAAAGACTGCAACACAAACGAGGTCAAGCACAGGCAAATTTGAAATTGAGTAATGGACACTGCAAACAACAGCATCTGACACGAAGCTGTGGCCAGAGGTTTGAGAATCAACCAAGACCCCCTTTTACCACTCAACTCAAGTGCACTTTAATCATATTTCCACATTATCTGTAATATTAAAGATAACACGGTTGGTGATTTGGTTTGTGTCGAGCTGGAAAGACAAGTCATGCCAACACACATGACCTCTGCGGTCAGTTATCACAATGATGCATGCATATTGACATATAAGTCTACATTTTGGTAGAAAACAGTAATAACCTTGAAGTATTTGTTATTTTTGAGGACTTTCAAATCAGACTCAGTCAAATTATATTTGCAAATAATTAGTTTGATCTATCTATCTCTTGTGAGGGTTTTATCAGTAGCACAGTGAACTGAAGAGCATTTACACGCTCATAGTCTGGTCCGCATATTAATAATTTAAAAATGGGATAAAACATTGTTTTATTATAATTATTTGCAAATCATGTTTGACCAAAGTCTGGTTTGGTTGCTTTGATCCAAGAGATTAAACATTTAGCATTGTAGTTGAACTAAACCCTTTAGAACGCTTATTCATTATTTAACTAATATTGAAGTCAACTTGTTCTGTGTCTCATTGAATTTCATTAGGAAAATAGACATCTTTATTTTTGTTTCTTCATTATTATTCTTGAAGTGTGCAAAGACCGCAAGAGCTATAATAGTTTAAAAAAAAGGTACAATTTTGCTTTAACCCCCCCCCCTCCACAGCAGTTATAAGCAGTATATAAAGATGTAATAAATGATAATGCAGTTATGCAGATACAAGTGTTAAGTAATGAATTTGTGAACAACTATAACTCCTCTTGTCTCCACTCGAAATTGGAGGCTGATTGGTGTACAGATAATGAATGAAAATACAGTAAAACACAGGCGAAATAATATAAAATATGTCTTCACAGGAGAAGTTATAATTGTTAAAAAATTCTGTACAACAAATGTTGTTATATCTGCTTAACTAACTATGTATAGTGCTTACAAATGCTAAACAGGGGGAGGGGGTTTATTAAGTGTTACCAAAAACATTGTTAATTTATTTATTTACCAAAATCAACAGCAGACATTGTAGCAGTAATGGGAGATCTTATAGCATCACTTGAAATGAACGTCCATGCAATCGTCTGACCACTGACACAATTTAGCTTTATAAGCTGTGAGTAACATTGCTTGAAAAGAAGAAGGGGTTACTTTGTGGTGAATGATTGCTTTTTAGTCAGTTCAAGGATGGAGTCCAGATACTGAGCATTAGATTTGTTAGGCTGGCTGCAGATTGGATAGAGGAGCAGACAGTTAGGGTCTGCCTCTCTCCTCAGAGCTAAGGTGGAAGGTGGCGAGCTGTTTTATGACGATCAGATCCTCCCTCTGCCTCCCTTCCTGCGGGTGAGACTGAGGGAGACTTCTCGTACTTGTCTCCCCCTATCCATCTTCCCATCTATGTGGCTGGCCACCTCCCTCCCAGTCCTCCCAGCAGCCTCTCAGGCCCCCAGCAGCTTCTTGACAAGGTAGCCCGGCATGCTATAGAGGAAAAGGCCCAGCATGATGAGCAGCAGCAGGGCCACCACGATCTTGATGATCAGCCACTTGTAGCGGTTGCACACCAGGTAGCGGATTGCTTTCAGCGGGCTCAGGAACCACAGGAAGGTGGTGTCTGGGCGGCTAGAGGGAGGGATGGAGGTTTCAGAGGAGGAAAGTAAAGGATTTGGCGAAGAAGGCATGCAGGTGGGTGGAGGAGTGAGTTAATGAAGCGTGAGTGAATGTGGATGGAGAAAGGGGAGAGAGAAATGGGATGAAACATGGGAGGAGTAAGAGAGACAGAGAGAGAGAGAGAGAAAGCTGGCATTAGTGGTTAGTAAGTTGCATTTATAGGTATTTTTGTTCACATGCATGCTCACAGCCCACATTTCTACCAGTATAATGTTTTAGTGGACCAAAAAGAACACATCACAATGTGAAAGCTGAGCAATTAAAAACAACAATGAACACGTTGATGGATGGATGATTGACAAACAGTTCCAAACACGGATGTTTCTTCTGGGGCCATTTGTTTCTGACCATTTTAACCAGACGTCTACTGGCACCTCTGAGCAGGGGCCTATCTAGATGGGTGGTAAAAATTGCCTTGCTACCCCAGTTTGGTGGCAAATGCTATCAAATTTAACACATGAATTTAGACATATACACATAAAATGTAATGATCTGTTACGGACTTTGTTTACACCATTGATGCTTGGTGCTCGAATGCAGTCAAAGTGGATGGACATTGTTTCTTTTTATGTAGAGATGAAACCATATCATCACTATCTTCTTGCTGCTGCTTACATTCCCCCAGATTCAAATTCAAAAAATGCACTACAGAATTATTTCCTGGGTTTATGTATAAATGTACATAAATAACTTTTTTTTATGTATGTAGCATGAAGGGACTGCAAACTTTCCTTTTGTTGTACAACCTTGTTCAATGATAAATACATTTCCTTGCTACTTGATTTTAGACTAAGTGATTAAGTTCAGTGAAAAAAGATGTTTTTAGAGAAATGTCTGAAGATTTTTAAAATAAAACAATTTATTGATTTCTAATGTCACCGTTAGATATTTCTATTCAGTGCTTTACTAATGTGCCACAATAATGTAATTTTTTATTTAAATATATAAATTTCCAAGCAAATATTGTATCTTATGGTATATGTACATATATGTCATCCAATAAGTGCTGCATACATTACAGCACTGATGTTTAGCTATTTATTAATATTCTTTATTTTCTCAGTTCTATTTCTAGAATTGGTTGACAATGTGTATGTTCAATTATTTAACAGACTAAAAGTTATTCTTTTTAAGAAAGCAGCCTTCTGAGTACCTTTGCAAAAATTCTATTTGCATTACAGCTCTGGCCACCAGATCAGTAATCAGTGAATTTTCCCCCTCTAAAATTGGTATCGGTGTCAAAAGGCTCTAAATAAAACTTTGCAATATTTTGTATAGTGTCCTATGGTATTTTATATGATATCTGGATGAGAATTTTAGAGAATTTTATGTGTTGTGGCCTGTGTTGTGGCCTGAACGGGATGGAGACTAAAGTTTTCCTACTAAAAAAAAATACTGACTTAACTGTGACTTTGTTGGGAGTGTCTTTTTGTTTGTTGTGTTATCATGGAAACAATAAAGTAATGAGATAATATGGCAACAAAATGTCACTGAAATAGTTGCAAGATGTAAGCAGCTCTCACTGACATTCGCCATCACATCCTGAACAAAAACTGCTGTTTCTTTGTGGATTCACCAACTACAATGTAGACTAGGCATCTGAAATGAATTAGAATAGAACAATCTTCTCCAGGTGGTGCCTTATGCTGCCTTCATTTCATATCGGAGTTATCGTAATTACGCATTTGAAATAAATATGGTTCTGGGAAACTCAGACTTTTCTCGAAGCTCTGATTTATCTGACTTTATAAATAATAATACACAAACAAAAATGGCTGCCTCTTATCAGCTAAAGTCCGCTAATCAATGTAATGAAACTCAGATTTAATTAATATTGTGTTGTACTGTCAATGCACTGTATTTTTAATCATTTAATTCACACGACCAACTCTGTGATCATACAACCATCTTGAGCTGCCCAAAGAGACGTAGGAACACTTAGGATGAACGCAGCATTTGGCAGCCACCTGGATTGCCTATACGTAAAAACGTTTCCATATCAAACATTTGGTCACTTATAAGATGTGTAATGGCACTAGGTGACAGTGATCTACAGCTAAGGCAACAGAGGAGACAGAAGTGGAGAAAAAGACAGAATACAAGCGTTTGCATTTGGCGGCACAGGACAGGAGAATCCAGGAAGAGGAAGCAAATAGGTTAAATAGAGAAGCAGAGACAGCGAGGAGGGGGCGGAGGCTACCAGCACGTCAGGCCCCCAGTATCTTCTTGACCAGGTAGCCAGGGATTGAGTAGAGGAAGAGGCCCAGCATGAGCAGCAGCAGTATCAGGCCCAGGACCTTGAGTATCAGCCAGCGGTAGTTGTGCCAGATGAAGTAACGAATGGACTTCAGAGGGCTCAGAAACCACATAAGACTGGTGTCCGGGCGACTTTGTGGGAGGAGGTAGATAGGGAAGGAAGGAAGGAATGCAGATGGAGGCAAAAACGGGGAGAAAGGGTGAGGAGAAAGGGGGGGTCACACGCACAAAGGAAGAAAGGGACGAGGGGAGGGGAGAGACAGAGGGAGACAGTTGAAGAGATGGTAGGAGGAGAAACGAGTGCGAAAGTGTAACAGTGGTCTTTTGACAGTGCAAGAAGCAGTGCGAGGGTCAAACCAGACCAAATCAGCTTAGTTAAATATCAAGTCTGGACTGATACTGATGTGTAATGCAGCATTTGTTCCACAGGTTTTTGCACTGTGAGAATAATTTCCTTAAAGAGGAAATTTAAGGGAAAGTCGTGCCTGTGCCTTTTTTTTGTTGCTCCTAACAACCATCCTCACATTTGATTTGTGATACAAGTGTGTGTGTTTCTGAGGATTTGATTATTCATATATTAAAAAAAAATACAACATGTCAATATCTTACTTTGGTTTCTCCAGTGGATCGGGCTCATTTCGTCCAAGTCCGACAGGACTTTTCTCCGCCTCTTCTGCTGTCACCAGATGAAGCTCAGCTTCTACCTTGCCCTGCAAAGGCAAGATATGTTTCATGACACATTAAAATGTATGTAAATCAATCAGCTATATGCCTTGACTCCAGGCATCTATATACTAACACTTGACCTTTGTTCTGAACACACAGGATATTAAAAGTTATATATACAAAATGGACTTGCCACTAGATGTTGTACTTGAGCACCAAAACAATCATTTTGCCTGACAGATAATCGTAAAACAGACTTTAAATTGAACAGAAACAAAATAAAACCTCTCCAAAACTGTGTGTATTAGTCTTTCCACCGTCTTTCCAACAATAACCAACTCTAGTTTGGGTGAAATAAATCCTTCATTCAGAGTTCAATAAGAAAATAGCAGCGGAATGGGCTACAGTGTTTACTGCTACTGATGTCTGAAATCTCATACATATAACCAAATATAACATTGTTCAAAAAGCCTCATGAACATGAGCCTTTAAAATGTGGTTTTCAGAGGCATAAAGAGGTGACAGTACTCAGTACATAAGAAATTAATAGAATTTTGTCTTTGGACCACTCAGGTTTATCTTGGGACCATAGAGGTCCTCAATCCCCAGGTAGGTTACCACCAAGATTACTAAAAATATACACAAGGTTCAGATAGAAATGTTTGCTTAGAATGTTTTGTAATGAGCTTTTCCAGAGTGTTTTGAACTCTCCTTTTATATTTATTTCAGCTTTGACTACGTTGAACGTGGCTTTCTAACTGCAGTTTGAAATTGTTTATAAAGTCATTTTGGGATGAAGATTTCACATGTCTGCTCATGATGTTACGCTCAGTGTTTCCTGACTAACTTACTGTGAGCTCCATCTCATCATTCTCATCTCGGGCTACAAACGGCCACCAGCCCTTCACCCTCTTTTGTTTGAAGATGGAAATGGTGGGCAGCTCTTGCTCATTTCGGATCATGTCAAGTGAACACTGCTTGGCTGTCTTGGCGCCACGAGGGAAGCGGTTCAGGTCCAACTCAATCGCACCTGGTGAGTGGTGATAGTCAAAGCAGACAGATATTAAAGATGGTGATACTTTTTTTGTTGTTGTGGCAAATCAGTTCTGCTGAAAGCAAGTGACAAGAGACATGAGCTTCAAAAACACATTGAAATCAAACCACCAGTTGTTCCCATCTGTCCTCACCCAGGAAGTCATCAGCAGAGAAGTGGTCGGCGTCCCAGACCTGGAGCGTGAGGCGGGGAGGGATCTTATATTCAGTCTCATCCCAGGAGAACATGGACTCTTTCTTTGAGATGACAATCTTCTCCTCAGCCATGAGGTAATCGAAGGGGAAGACAAAGCGCCAGTTAAAGTTGCCCTCACCAGTCAGGGAGTGATAGTGCACATCTGTGTCCTGCTTGTCTTCCTGCTGCCCCTTCAGCCAGCTGTGGGAAGGGCCATAGAGATCAGAGTTAGACTGACCTTTTGGATCAAAGTTTGGTGGGATGAGTGGATAGATTTTTGATTATTTTCAGTCATGCACTTCTAAGGTTTAATATGTAGGAAATTAGAATTGTCTGGCAGTTACTGAATATTAATTTAGTTGATTTAAGCAAGAGCATAGGACATGTTAAATGTACCAGGCTGCTAACAAGAGAGATGATGCTAATAGGTCAAAATCAAAATACATAATGTGGCTCTCTAAAACCAAATCAGATTATAAATGTTGTTGGATCACACATAAAAATCTGATTTGATGTTGGAGCTTCACACTATTTTTAAAGCCATGCATACACAAAGCTTGCAATAATGCCTTTAGTGAAAATTATCTGAAATTTTCCTTAAAAATGACTTTGATCTTCAGTGTCTGGATGCAGACAGCCTATGAGGTTAGTCTGTGCCGGCTGGAGCTCTTTCAGTAACAGTTGAGTAAGTCTGGCTTCATTTGTGAGGAGGAGGAGCAGGAGGGAAGCTGCACTCTCAGTTCTCAAAACGCAACACTAAAAATATGAAAAAGTAAGCTGACTAGAGGGATTGTCAGAGTAAAGCATCTTAGTGAATACTGAACTACTACTGTGAGGGCATGTGCTATGATTTGGTAACTGAGATGCACTGGCATTAATCTGATCTCATGTGAGCCACCAACTGAATCATAATCACTGTATGACAACACTGGATCCATCTGAAATAACCCTATCCGCCTGTCTTTACTGTCGGTGCAGATGGTTGGGCCAGCACTGAATAAAGGTTTTGATTTAAAAAACAGAACACACGTTATCATCCTCGAGTATTTAGGGTTGTTTGAGGACGGCACCCTATATGTTACAGTACAGTCCTGAGGTGTCACATACATGGGTGACACCAAGGCATCTGAGGGAAAAGTGAGTTTGGTTAAGAGATGCAGGAGTGAGGAGGCTCCGCATAACACTGATATTAATAAATTTAAACAGGAACAAAATATCAAATAATTATGGACCTTTTTCATTGTAGACATTTTACATGTAATGGCAAGGAAAGCACAGGTACAATTAAAAACCTAAATAATGGCTGCATTACATGTAGGTGTCAGTTAGAAAGAGCTGGTTTTATGGTGCATGCTGCACTGCCAAGGCTTACTGGGACAATATTAATGTTATTAGTTACACCTGCGCTTAATTTCTATCCTCATGTATGGTCACATTATACCTCCATCCTGTGAATGTTTGCTCTGTCTTCCATTCACTTTATTTGAAATCCATAAGACAAATTAATTCAGGCATGCATTCCTTGTTTTGGTGCAACCTCCACGGCCAGTATCACATTACCAGACAACAAACTTAAGCATCACTCTCAAACCTGGTTTTCAATTTGTGATCATAATAGATCAATATTTATTATCAGAGCTATGTCACATTATATTTTAGGGTTGAGTGTGAGGCAATTTCATTGGATGGAGGGCAAATTTAACGGCACCTTATAACAAGTCCAAATATCTGCCATGAAGGAGGTCCAGTATTGGGACCAGGCTGCAACATGACAATGTCTCTATCATATTGCCATGCATATTCTATGCTTGTATACATGCCAAGGCTCCAAATATCTTAAGTCTCTTCTTTTACTGTATCAAGTCAAGTAATTTCCAGTAAAATCTGCAATGCAGGACCAAACCACAAACCTTAAACAAAACATATTGCAGTATACTGTTGAAATGCCATATCTAGTGTAAAAGTTTGCTCTTGACATCGAAAACAGTAGTTTGACCTAAAAAAAAAAAGAAAAAGGTAGTCTGACAAAAAATAAAAATAGTAGTTTGACCAAAAAAAGAAAATGGTAGTTTGACTAAATGGAAAAAAGGAAAAAAAAAGCAAACTCAACCTGCCGATTCCATAACACCATGAGATGAAAGATCCCGAAAAAGGTAGTGAATTTTGTCCATTCAATAGCTGTTCTCGAGCTTTTGATAGTATCACATGATCTTCATTTATTTTTCTAGTTTAGTTCACAGTAAGGAAGCAAAAAAAAAAACACAATAAAAATACTTCCTTAAAAGATGGAGCTGCCCATTTGTTGTAATAATGTAGATGTTCAAAATATTCGTCTGAGAACTTGAAGGTCTTTTTGTCCATGTAGAAACCCATTAACTAAGTCGTTAACTAGTTTCTGCTGTTTCCAAAGAACAAACTTTCAATCTCAGCATGTCTGTGAATCTTAGATGTATGAATGCCAGTGGATTGTTTTGGCATATATATATAGATATATACAATTATAATTGTAGTCAACAGGTTGTTTATGTGGTTTGATCCTGACATTTTTAATTTCACAATAGCTTTCAACGTGCTATTTGGAGAGTTTAGGACAAGCGAGGCTACGTGCTGGATGGAGAGTTGAGACAGGAAGTGGGAAAGGGGAGAAATAAATTACACGACGAGGGCTTCAGGAAGGAGGAGGGGGAGGTAGTTGTACGAGCCATGCGATGGAATCGTGTGTTTACCCCCTGACATAGATGTCAGACATCTTCTCTCCTGTCATGAAAGCATCGTCCTCTAGAATTACGTCATCAGTGTTCCAAATAACAACACGAAGCTCAAAGCTAGACAGCAGCAGAGCATTGACCAGAGGAGAGAGAGAGGACGACACACAGATAGACAGGAGACACACCACAAACACAAAGACAGACACAACACAAAAACGCACACAGAAAAAATGGAAACAAAACAAAAAAAATAATGGTTAACTGCAAAAAAAAAAAATCCACACACAGCTCACACCCACGGGACGAGGCTTAGCCGCCGCGTCCCTCTGTACCTACCCCCTGACAAATATGTCACTGGACTTTTCCCCAGTGAAGTAATCATCGTCCTCCAGTATTACTTCGTCTGTATTCCAAATAATCACCCTGAGCTCATATCTGGTAAGGGGAGGAGGAAGGAACACATACACACACAGTTGGACTTACATTTTACAATAAATAGAGAGCTAACTAGTTAAATGGACTCACCATAATTTAACGTGGTGATAAAACTACATGATCTGTTGAAAAAAACTGAAGAACTTTAGCCACTTTAACTGCAATTACCAGATCATTTTCCATTAAATTTGCATTGGATTTACAGTTTTTCCTAATCAGAAAACACCATATTCATAGTGATATTTGTCTTATTTGCTCCAGCCTGAGCCTACCTCTTTGGTTTCCGTGGTGATACGTCAATTGCAGGTCCAGGAGCAGGCATGTCCATAGGAAACATATCCACCCACATCTCAATGCGTCCCTTTGACGCAGAGAGAAACACATATAGTTTAACTATATTTTCAATCTGTTTCATGACTCCAGACAAAGCGTGGCTCTTTAATACCTGTTCGATGCCGGGTTTGTCGGGGTTCAGCAGGGGTCTGGTCTCCACGTGCTCAGGGACGAGCTTGCAGCCCACCCTGGGGATCTCCTCCCAGTGGTTCAGCACTTTCAGAGCCAAATGCTCCTCAGTCTGCTTCTTCAGACCTGAGATTTCAACACAAGAAGATAAAGAGGGCAAGGGAAATCAAAACGTAAAAATACTTGAATCGCAACAGACCAGTTCAGTCATAAACCAGCTGAGGTTTATTTTAAGAGATTTATAACCTAAGCTTAAAGGGGACAGTTCACCACAAAATCAGAAATGTGTGTACTTGTGACAGTACAAGATGAAAACATTTGCGGTGTCCTCCTTGGCAAAGCTGTAACGTTAGCGAGCACCAAAATGCATGCTTCCTTTTGTGGGTGTAGTTCAGTAGAAAATATTTTCGACATGAAATAAATAGCACTACAGGTAAGCATAAAATTAAAAAAACATATATTTTAGATTTTGGTGTGAAATGTCCATTTAATGAAGATTACTGGTCTGATGACCTTTGCATCGTCTACAGGATCAAAATATAGGTTGAATGCACACCAGAAGTGCTGGTAGCAGTCAGAAAGTCTGCTTAGTGTGCAGTTATACTCTTTGCTACTCTACCTTGATTACAGCATTGAGTTGGGTCTCATGGGAAATCTGTTTGGTGATAAATAAAATTCAACCATACCATTTTCATCCTCGATCTCTGTAGGTCCCAGGAAGATTCGATTCGCCACCTTGACTTTGCCTCCTGGCCCATAATGAGGTCCATCGATCTTGCCTTCCTTACAGAGCTTCATCAGGATCTGACTGGGCTTCATAGGGTCCCGCCAAACATTGTATCCATGGCTGACATCAATAGATAACAAAGAGGTCACTGAACTTCTGAAGTCTTTGGATATGTGAGCCATTCAGAAAGTTTTTATACAGTTAATACAGGACAATCTTAGGGCTTTTGATTATAACATTTCTTAAATAAAAAAAGTACATAAAATTTTAAATAATACTTGTGACACTATAACTAAGCCAAGGATAAAAACACATGGATGCTCACACAGAATAGTTGGATGAAATGCCGCAGGTGGCTCTGTATTTGCTGTAGAAACGGTTCTCCAAGTCGATCTTTGTCTCTCCAATCAGGTCATCGGTGCCCACCAGGTCCCAGTCGTACACAGACACCGTTAGCATGGACTCCATGGGGAAAGTGGCCTCGATATCGAATGATCTGAGCACAGAGAAGCAGAGGATAAACAGAATGTGAGATGTGAGAAGGGCAACAGATTCAGTATTTTTTTGTTGACTGTCGATTATTGTGACGTAAGCTGTGAGATAGACCTTTCTCCTGTACTACCAATATATGACAACAAACTAAAACCAAAGGAAGAGTAGCTTTTTCTCCACTTACTTGCCAAATACAGGATTGAGCTGTTTGGAGATGTAGTTCTCTTTGTCTTTGACCTCTGATTTGCCCAACTTGATGACAACGTATGGATCAGCCTTCCCATTGATATCAGCAGGATGAAGATCTGTAGCCTGAGGTAGAGCAAAACAGAACAGGGCAAAATCAGAGAGAATATTTGATTCTGTTTATTTGTTTTTTAACTGCAAATTGTATGGAGGTCACTCACCCTGACCACATAGACACGGACAAGGACGTTGATTGGATCGTTGTGTGGAATGTTCTGGAACATGCCCATATTAGGATCAAATCCTGCCTCCCTTGTGATCTCCTCGGACAGAGGTAGCTTGTACATACATAAGGATCCCTGGGTCATGGAAAAAAATAAGTGTATTTTTACTATATGACTTATTCAGATAGCGTAGGTTGAGACAGACTTGTTTTTAGTTGGTGTTTTTCCACCTTGAACCTGCCAACGATCCTGTCGTCATCCAGAGCTTGTTCGTCGTCATCCCCGGCCTTTCCTCTGTACAATTTGAAAGTGTGGAGCCAGTCTTCAAAGTTGCCATACTCACTCTCCAGCTCCTTGTTGTACACCTGCATGGGTCAACAACAATTTGAAGTGTCTCTATCTGAATGCATGTTATTGTGTGCTGGTTCATTTTTGTCTGAGCGTGAATATATACGCACCAACAGCTCATCCACTTTTGCTTTAACCGGTCGTTTCTCTGAGCTGTCTGCAGCCTGACCTTTCTTCTTGTCCTTGGAGCTCTTCTTCTCTTTGCTCTTTTCCTTTGTCTTGGAGCCTTTCAGAAGAAGGTCATCAGGTTTGATATCTGATTGGAGGGGTGAGTGGAAGTGGACATGGACAAAGTAGGGTTGGAGTCATGAAGAGGGGTGGCAGGGTTCGCACACAGCACTACACGTGTAATTTAACATGAAAGCTGACAGGACTGTTTTATCAGGGGAGTAACTAGAAAGTCACTCCAAAAACCAAAAACATCAAATTTTTTAAATTAATTTGTCTTAAAAAGTAACTTAACTAAATCTTGTTTTTGTGAATTCCAGTGATTTAACCTCTCACCTTGATATATTGATGTACAGGTGTACTCCAGGACCCTGTGACATTACTGTTGGGTGTCTTAACAGATGCAAACCAGGCCTAAGTACACCCATCAATGTCAGAGGTGAAACCTTAAACTTTAAACCAGACAGCAAAACATTGCTTTACAGCCTGGTGTTACATTACTCTTTAAGAGGGAAAACACCTGTAGGTACACAGTATTTGGAAATGTAATGTAGCATGTTATCAATAAATGATTATCGTATTCATTTTGAGATTCTCAGCAGTCACATGCTGCCAAAGTTTATCTTGATAACAGAGACTGATAGGGTTTGTGGAAAATGTAGTTTAAATTTTACATCTATGTCATAAACACACGTCGACTATGTTGGGGTTAGTTTATATCAAAGTTTGTTGCTGAATTGGATAATGATATGTATTCTTGTGCGACACGATGCATGTTTAAAGAAGTTTTATGCAGCATGGATTGCAGTAAATAATTTATATTTTTATGCAATTAAAATGTGAGCATGTTAGTGCTGATGTAGGTTAATTTCGTGGGTCTGTATCAGCCAGCTTTCATGTGTGCTGCAGAGCTGGGAAGTCATGCTAATGTAGGACATGGTCATGAATGTGATAATGTTAAACTCATGTTCAAAGCATGGATGAAGGATGAATCCATGGGAGGAAGGAGATGAAGATGCTTTGTTCCTACAACTCACATCTCAGACAAAAGCTCAAAAAGTTAAAGTGCGAAATCCCTCCCTCATTCATTCAATCATTCGCTACTCTCTATAATTAACAGTCAGCAGTTTGCTCTATAGAGAATGAGATTTTAGATACGTTGTCATTTTGAGTCATCACTGATAGCTATCATTTTTGCATGTACTGTATAAAATGTGATTACATTGTGGGATTGTTCACAGAAAGTATGCCGTGCTCCTAATCCATACTATATACTGATCTGATTCTTTAGTAATTAGTGTGTTCACACTAGAAAAGTGACAAAATAATGTAATTGTTGATGGACAATATTCTCCCACAATGCAATGCACAAAGGAAGTGGAAGCAAATCTCACAGCTAGTGGTTGGTGGTGAAACAGCTCCCAAACAATGTATTAAATCTTACATTAAAGAAGAATTTTAAATTAAATATTTAAGAAAAATTATTTGACGTCACTTGATTGACAGCTGACAAAATAGTATGTATGTTGTATGTAGGAAGTATGTTGATATTGTTGTACACTAACTGCTGAAACTGTATACTTTGATGATAAGTATGTTGTACACACTATATAGAACTATTAGTAGAATTTGAGAGCACTACATACACAGCATAAATTTCACACTCAGGACATATAAATAAAATGAGGATGGTAAATATAATGCACTATCTAGTAAACAGGGAGTGAATTCAGACTCACTCAAAGGCATGGTGCTTGATGGGAATGAAATGAATGACATAGCTCATAACAAATTTTAGGCAGTGCAGTTGGCATAACAGAACTATATTTTCTTCATCCTCAGGGCAATCAACCCAAAATATCTAAACAACTAAAGATTATTCTTTGTACAATCCTAAAAAATAGTCAGGAATAAGCTTACACTTGCAGTATTACAACTTCAAATCAAATATTGTTGACATATTCCTTTAAAAGAAATAAAAGCAGCAGACATTGAGGCACACTGGCAGGCAGCCCAGCTGGTTTGGTGGAGTTCAGTACCTGCTGCCTCTGCAGCTATCTCCAAGTCCTCTCTCTCCTCTGCCTCAGCCTGAGCTGCTTCCTGGGCTCTGAGAGTCTGGAAAACCAGGTAAGAAAATGTTGGAAAGAAGTGTGACGGCGATCCTGAGGGCAAATTTAAATAAGGGATGAATAAATGTGTAGCTGTACATAGAATAGAATACACAAACCTCCTTCAGTGTCTCTATTGAAGCAAAATATTTGGACCACCAGTCCAGCACTCTCTCATCTGTCTCATCCTCTTCTTCCACTCCTCCCTTCTTTTTCTTCTTCTTCTTCCTTTTCTCTTTGTCACTCTCCTCCTCAGTCTGTTAAAAGACACTTCAGTGACTCTCAGTAGCTCAGTTTTTATTCATAACAAGGTACCAGCCAATTTAAGCACACATTTTCATTGCCAGATTTCTATAGGAACGATTACTTACCATGTCAACTTTTACAACAGCGTCAGACATCTATGATAGGGGGGGCGTCACATAAAACAACACAAGGATTAATACACACAATGGATGATGCAGGTAGAAGCGGCACATGTACAGAGGCAGGTAAAAAATGACTGGACATATTCCCACTGTTTACAAATATAAACACACACATATACAATAGAAATTAGCTCTACAGTGCATGAAGTCAAAGAAAAGCTTACAGCGTCTAACTTGACCACCGTGTCCATCTTTCGAACTGAAGGGTCTGTGTCCATGTTGATGATGATGTCACCTGCGGGGCGAGAGAAGGTGCGGGAGGAAAGGCTGGGTGAGGAGCGAGGCTGGGAGCCGCCATTGGTAAGGACCATGTAGCCATTCATTAGCTTAGCTGGAGTGTGGCCAAAGTGCAAAGGCAGCAGTTGGCAGGAGAGGACAGGAAAGCCAAGGACATGCAAGAGAGGAAAAATAGAGAACAGATGGAGAGAGGCAGGAAAAGTAGGCAGAAAGCAAGCAGAGAAATCATCAGAGTTAATAAAGAATGAATGTTCATTCTTTAGCGACCAGAGAGCTGGATCAGAAGTATTTAGAAGTAGGTCTTAAAGTTTGTTTTAACCTTCATTGACATACAGTATCCTGTCTAAACTTTCCAAGAGCCCATTTTGAAAAGGTTAAAACAAAGTCAAAAAATTATTATCAAACATTCACAGATGTTTCATGAGGACCTAGAGGTCTTTTTCAAGAAATAAAGGAAACCCAGAGCTGACAAAGCAGTGAACAAAAGAATGCCTGCTACATGTTTCAAATTAATTTTATACTGATTGCAGTTTATATTTTAAATATTTAAAGATAAAAGTTTATAAAGTGTATATGTAATGAAAAGCCAATCCAATCTAAGGCTCTCTTTCTTAATGGCAGTAGTAAATAATATTATGATTGTGATTGTAGAGATGTTACACCTCTATATAAATATATAATAATATAAATAAAAATAAATAAACTCAAGAATGCAATACAAATACTAACATTTCAAAGTTGCTAGTTTTAGCAAAAGAAACACAAGGCTATTCAAACGTATAAACCACAGTTAATAGTCCTCATATAATGAACAAGTGTTCAGAAATAAAAACAGAATCTCATCATCTCTTACTTAATTTTATTTCTAACTAATGGACTGACAAAACTGCTGACGTGTTTGGCTTGAAGCCTTCATCAGAGTGTACTGCATGTGACAGCAGTTAGCTCTCTTTTAAAAGGACAAATTAAGCAACTCATTATCAAACTAACTTTTCACCTCGCAATAGAAATGCAGTGCCACTCCTAACACACACAGTTAATAGGTAATATATATGACAATAATATCAATATAATCTGTCACCTGCAGTGGCCCAGTTGTTGGAGGTCTTGTCTGGGGTTGTGTAGATGAAACGTCTCAGGCTGCTGACAGCATGGGACCCCACCAAGATGTAACGGCCAAACGCCCGGCAGTCCACCACCCGGATGTTGAGAGGAGGGTGTAGAAGCTCATTCTCTGGAAGGTCCTAAAGGAACAAAAATAAGACATGGCTTTGGTGTGACATGAAGTGAGAATTTCTTGCAGTAAATTCCAATTGTAAGTTAAAATATATATGTAAATATATCAGTAAAGTGAAGACAGGTGGCTATAGGGCCAAAATGTCATAATCTAAATAAAACAGAAATGCACAGTGCAACACTTCCTACTCTCAAGTCTACTTCCAGTAATCAGCACCTCCCTACAACCTGGTGTGTGTTACCTTTCTATATTCAGTAAAGTGAAGACAACCAGACCAATTTCAAGTTTTTTTTTTGTTGTTGCAAGAAACCAGATGTAATATCTAAGATCCAACATTTTTCTAAGGTTACAATATCAAATTGGCAGCTGTACTTACCACCTCAAACCATTTAACCAGGGTGCTGAAGTTGGGGTTTTTCTTGTAGTTCTGGATGAGGACAGATTGCACACCTCTACCTGCACACTCTATGTCCACACGGGGCCGATCCACCTGAGCCAAGTTAATCCTCTTCAGGTCCCTTAAGCCCCAGAACAAAACCTGAAAACAGAACAAAACAGCTGTAGGGGAAGAGGATCTCAAGAGAGAAAAAAACTGAGCCAGTGGTTAAAATCTGACCTCGATGCGGTAGCGACTCAGGACTGGGCGAATGCCCAACGGCACAGGTAGAATTGGTCCACGCTCTGAGTCTGTCGGCCCTTCAAGGGGAGGAAGATCGGCCCTCCCTCCTTGGCCAATCTAATTAAGGAGGAGAAAGGAGAATTAAATGTGAGAGTAAAGGGTTGCAAGGCTTCTGTGATTTCTGCATTATGATACAGCATGAGCACCATACCAGACCTCTTTCCTACAGGCCTAATATTTGTATTAATTCTTTCTTTGCTTGTGCAGAGAAGGCAGAGGTTAATGTCATGTTGGTAGAGATAAAACACACTTACTGCAGTACAAACACTGACGACTGAGTAACCAAAGAGTAAGACAAAGTGGGATGAAAAGAGAGAATGAAGGAAAAGAGCACCTTTATTTGAGGGACAGCAAAGTTATGGACAGCGATCAGAGCTCGTCTAATCGCCTCCTCATCGAAAGGTATCTGTAGGCAGCAGGAGGAGGCAGAGGAAAGAGACAACAGACAGGAAAAATGGATATTTCACAGGAGAAAGGAGAAAAGATGAATATGTTGTGGATGGAAGGAAAGAGTGGTGACATGACGGCAGAGGCAACAAGAGAGAAAATGGAGATATTTAAAGGTGGTAAAGAGAAAAATTAATGTAAAGTTAATGTTAAAGCTTTTAAAGTAAAAGCAGAAAGAGCAGATTGTGCAAGCAGGCAGAGAGCAAGAGATGAATTTTACATGTACAGAAGGCTTGGCAGAGATCTTTTGTGCATGCGCTACATCATTAAAAGGTACCACAGGGTACCTTTAACGATTCTTTCTTTATTCTTCCCTCTTCCCTCCAGCAGTGACATGAAGTCTCTCAAGAAGACCCTGTAGGGTTGCATGTGTGTGTGCATGGCTGCATGCATATGTAAAAGTTAATTTGTGCGTGTTTGTGTGCACCGTATGTGTGTTCTTGCATATGTTACCTGCAGCAGCTCAAAGGCAGCCAGCAGTTCCCCGGCAGTGCTGTTCCCTCGGTAAACCTGGTAGTACTCCAGCTGTGGTGGGAACCTCGGGGGGCCGTAGTACTCGTCACACATCTTGATGGTGGGCTTTGCAAACGTCCGACCTATGAACTCTGCCTTGCCCTGAACACCACATTGTGACAGCAGGCAGTCGAGACAGTCAGGGGGGACAAGGGATGGGAGTTAGACACGTGTGTGGGAGGTGCAGTTTCCACGGCTGCCACTTGGTGTCAGTATTGGTCAAACTGGTTATAGATTATAAAAATGTGGAATTTTGGAAAGAAAACAGCAAAAACACAGTCTTGTATAACACAAACAAACACCCTGCCAATACAACAAAATATCTTCTATACTGCACCACTGCTGCTAGTAGAACCATTAATCCCCCTGAAGCTACTGCTGTTCTAAACCGGGAGGGGAGAAATGGAGGAGGTACATGCAAGTTTCCAAAACTTTTCCCTAGCTCATCAGCAGCTAGATGAACCAAACAATCCGTGCTACACATCAGCTAACAGCCATCAGAGGCTATTAGAACTTCGAATTCAACAGTCTCTAAGTATTAATGCTTTCACACTCTATTTAGCCAATGCAGCATGAGCAAGGCCATGTGGAGGACAGGGGTGGAGTGAGACAAGAGCGGACATACAGTCAGAACATAAGGGAAGGAGAAGCAAAGCACTTTTATTAGCACAAGCTAAATCCTGTTTAACAAGCATTGATGAATCTATCAACCAGTCCCTCTATGATGCATCCATTCATTCCCATAAAGTAAAATCCTACCACAGTGTCCTGGTCATAGATTTCAACTACAATGATGGGCGGGTCATCTCTCAGCTCGCTGGCCTCCCCAAACAGCTCCACATCGTCAAACACCAGCAGCTGGTCCCACGTAGGGCAAAGAGTCTCGCTTAAGACCTGCACCACACACACACACACACACACAAACACACAAACACACAAACACAACTCAGTTAAAACATAATCAATACAAACACACGATTTTATACATACACACGCTCGTGGTCTTACCTCAGTAACTTGGCTGTGCGTGGAGAAGAAGACCCGGGCAAAGGGATCTGAAAGGCCACTGCTGTCAGCGGCAAACAGACTGCGTGCCTGGTACATGTGTGCTCTCAGCTGAAACACCTGCTTCACTGTTGGACACACACACACACACAAACGACACACACCACAACACAAACCACACCCCACCACACATACAAATGCATCACATTATCTGACAATCAATCCCCTTTGTTAGCAATCTTATACTGAAGTTAGAAAAGTTACCCACAATGGAAAGGCAATCAATGCAAGTCAAATGTTTACTTCTGAGTGAGTTTGTTTAGCCTCTAATTGATTTTAGAGTTCAAACTTAATGATACATCAAGAGAAAACCTAATGCAGGTCTCGATGGTAAATAGAGAAAAAAACAATTAAAAAAGTGAATGAAAAGTAAAACTATTTCAAAAAGAAATAATAAATGCAAACTTCTATATCCTCAAGCTGCAATGTAGATACTACAGCACAGGAACTTTAAAACATTCCTCCACCGCAAGTGTAACTTTAATAAATATTAATGTTTTAGTAACTGTTACTTGGAGTGAAGAAGCGTGGACTGCCATGTTGTTGGCCACTTACAGGATTAATATACTGTATATACACACACAGTCTTTTTTAGTGTGTACTCACTGTTGTAGACGAGGCTGACAGGAGGGACAGACTGAAGACCGGGGCCCATTTTAGCGGCTTTAATCTCTTCGAAACCACAAGGCAGACCATTGAGGAAGTCCTTCCTTTGCTTGTTGAGGCCAAGCCATAGATACAACTCCAGCTTAGCCTGAACCGTCCATCCTGCAGGACCGAACCCCTTCTTACCAGGCAGCTGTGGACACAGATTACCACACCAGGGGACCGAATAATGCGATTAAAAAAAAACAAAAAACAACATGGGAAAGTATGTATTACATCCTGTTTTTGCTATTATTACAGTGAGTCAATCACTGAGCATCATGCAGACAATACTGCAACATGACCCAATCCATAAATATTAAAGAGCCACCTCATTGATTTTCCCTCTAGGCAACTGTAATAGATTTACTGAAGCCTATTCACCATACAGCTGTCAAATTGTTTATTCTATCATGACTATTCACCACTATTGATCATCTAACAGTGCAGTTGGCAGCAACTTCACAACCTCACATTATTCTGACCGGTGATGAGAATAAATAGAGGTCTTGGATTTCAAATGGTTAAGTGTGTTTAATGAGACAAACAGAAAAAAAAGATTTTACCTTGAGGAAGACAGCTTTGACTTTGCCGCAGTCTTTTCCTGTTTCCTCATCCACTATGGAGTACAGAATGTCTTTGGAAGGAATCCGGGCGTAGGCGATACGCTTGTTGTTGCTCATCATCCAGATGAAAACATCTGGGATGCTGTGCTGAGGCTGGATGAATACATAGGTTTGATTGATAGATGATTAACACTCTCCTTCTTCCAGATTTTCTCCACATTTACTACATGTACTTTTACAGACTGTAAAATGCTTATATATGCTGTACTGCAGAATTAAATCTGTACCTCGTCAGCCAGGAAACGCAGCTTCTGTAGGAAGTTCTGCACCAGCTTGAGTTTGTCTCTGACTGTGTTTTTCTTCACCTGAGTCCTGATCTGCTTGGACTGCTGGCCCATGCTGTCCTGCAGGAGGAGAGATGATAAGCGATGATGAAGCATACTAACAGAAGGGCACTGTGCCTTACACACATACGGTATATACTATATACATGTGCACACACCATAGCTGGGGGTCTATTTGTATTCAATTTAGTGGATTTTCTTCAAAATATGATTTTTTTTGGTTTTAAAACTATACAGAAATTTCCACACCAGTTTTTTTTTAACAAACCTAAAACATTTTTTTTAACATGTTTTTGTTCTCCTCCAATACTTTTGCTTTCCATGCTTTGCTTTTTCAATGTCATATAGACATTTCTTTTTTTCAATATGCATTAAGTACACATACTTCTCAAGCACCACTGATGCATATAACTGTACAAACACTGGATCTTATTTATAATATGACCTCGCTTGCAATCAAAATACAAGCATGAATCAGAATATAAAACAGTTCTGAGACGGAGATATTGCAAATGCATGCAACTGTATTGCAGGGAATTATTAAACAGAGTGAAATTGTATTTAAAAAAATTCTGTTCCTCGTGTTGCCTTTATGGGGACTCACTAAGGCGATGGGATAAGTTACTAAACAGCAGCCAAGTTGATGCCATTAATCAGAGCGTCATCTTCCCTCCCTTTTACTTCCTTCCTTCTCAATTTGAGAAACATAAATCATACCATCTCTCTCATGCAGGACTTGAGCCGCTCTCGATCCAGTTTGGTTCGGCCTGCCTGATTCACATCCTTGTTAGCCAGCGTCACAAACCGACTGGAAATAACCAGAAAATGCAGAGGATAAAACATGAAAGTATATCTTCTATTCAGATATTTTAGATTATTCTTCTGTGATCTTATGCTTTCCAGAAATGAAGACCTCTAGCAGTTTCACAAAAACAACTATAAGAACATAAAAGAGAAATAAAGAACAATAAAGACCCTGATGATTTTGTCCTCCATGACAAACATAATGACTGTGTTTTAGAGATGCTTCAGTGCAGAGAGCTGCTGCCTTCAGTAGATTCTGGGGGGTTGATGAAGATGGTAGCTAGTAGTCTTTAATGTGCATGTTTGACACGTTTTAAATAGCATTACAGCAGTTTTATAGCTTTCAGCATTAGGAGAAACTCTCTGTATCTTTACTGACCACTGAGTCACAATTCAAGTTTTAGTACAAGGCCATGACAAATGATTATTATTATTGTGTATCTTGCCTGCAGCCGATGCTGAGCTCCTCCAGCACTCCCCTGAGTCGGCGCTCTGGAAAGGCCTTCTCCGTCTTAATGATCTCCTGAACATCATTCAAACCTTCTTCCTGTTGGGATGCAAAAAATACACAAACAGTTGTTAGTATTCATATGATTATATAGTAGAAGCTGACTCCAGTTTTAAAACAATTCACACATAAACACTTTTTGAAGGTTTTGTTTATTTCCCCCACTATGTATCCTGCTCAGTGGTCTGAACTGAACTGCTTGCTCAGGCAATCAGTGTTCAGTGAGGTGAGCCCAGGAACCTGTCAGGACTCTGAATCTCCTCACAAGACCCCTGTGATACATTTAAGTTTGCATAATATGCTGCAGAATTTTAGTGTCATTCACACTTTAATACGGTGTGGTTATGTATCACAATTATAGGAGCTGTTTGTGAACATCATTTGTCTTATGTTTGGCGTATCTATGGGTGTGACTCAGAGAAAGAGGCCATCAACAATGTGAAAGCAGTCAAATCTTTAAAGTATTCAAGTATTTTACCGTTGTTAAGCTGCGTGGGGTATTATGTTACAGGTGGCCAGTTGTTTTGCTCCAATAAAATCCTCAAAGTACTAATAATTGGATCTATGTCTGTAAAGAAATACAAAGACCATACAATGTTTCCATGCAGTGTTATTGAAGATTACCGTGTTGTATTCTCTATTTGATGATTGAACAGCACTTAATTATTCATCATTATTAGCTGCTTAATAAGTCACCTGAGCCAACATTTGCACATCACAAGGTGTATACTGACCAGCTTGTCAGCAATCTTGTCCATCATGTTGGAGTTGTAAAGTCGCCTTCTTTGGTCCTGCCACCAGCTTTTGATGTAGACACATGGTTTCTTTTCAAAGTAGGGAAGATGGAAATAATTCCTGTGGGGTACAAACAAAATTCCTTCAGTCTAAAATCCTAAATTGTTACAAACTGTACTAAATGTTGGTTAATAACCGGAATGTGTAAAGGATTGTGATAAGTGACTCTCTTAATACATGTATTGTATCAATCATCACAATCAGATCAAAAAGGCTTTTATTATACCGCGACTACCTACTACTACAAAACCTTGACCTTGCCCCTGTGACCCTTGACCCCCTGACCTGTCTGTGATGACAGGCTTCATTAGAGGAGTGGAGGAGACAGAGACCAGGTCCCCGTCCTCGTCTGCCTCATCCTCGCTAGAGTTCTGGATGAGCTCGTTCTCCTCTTCTTCACTCTCCCCATCCTTCTTCTTCTTTTTTGCTGATGAAGGCTTGCTTACACCGTCTATCTGGTTGCCATAGTTACCTGTTAGTGGGCAGAACATACCACGTTGTTATCGAGCGCACTTACAGTTACAGTAGCTATTGATTTTCTTGTCACATCTCTCTGTCATATTGTAAACTTGAGGAGAGCAGGTCGATGTTAACGTGATGAAGGAAAGTTTTTTTTTACCTATTGTGATTTCAAAACTTATCGCTTTGTCACCAATCTTCCTGTCGATCATGGTGGCCTCCAGGAAGGAACCAAAGAGGAAGAACTCATCTATTTTCCCAGTGGCGCTCTGATGGAGTGAGGAGAAGGCCAATAAAGAAAAAAGTGAAAGATTTTATTTGACTGAAGTGAATTCATTTTATTGTGGAGTCTGTGCAAATGTGCACTTTCCTGTAATTCACTGAACATATAAAACCTACCAGCCTCCTCTCTGAATTACTGAGCCACTTAGTTTATACATTACATTTGTAAGTGCATTTCCACCACATTTTTTTAGCCTTAAGGTGCTTTTTTCATTCATGTGGTTGTTATTAAACTATTAAATAGTAATCCTTACTTTTTTTTCAAGTATTAATTGCAACTGTTCATCGCAATGCCTCCCAGGTAGCCAATACGGCTTGGCCCATAGAGATCTAAATCCAGTACAAATGGTTGCTGGAATCATGCCAGACTCAATATGAAAGTATAGTATATACAAACAATAAAAAAAGAAAACGACTAAACAAAACAAATAAGCAAAAATGGTTTTCAGAGTGTCAAATAATTGTCCATGCATGACTAAATGCTGTATCTCCAATGTATAAAGCCATTGTGAAAGAAATTTCAATTCAGGCTGAAATTGTCCATAAAATATCAAAGTCTAGGAATCTCCAATGACTATTGAGGGATTAAGAGGTAGTTTAAACAAGCTTTGCATTAAGCCACACTCAAAAAGGGCCCATAGATAAGCATACACTATGAAAAGGGGCCGAAAATCAAAGCAAAACAACTTTACAGTATGAGTCAGACAAGGAGTCTCCTCAAAATAATGACTAGTTTATATAATTCAGCCACTTTTTAAAACAAGGAGGTGAGGTAGATTTCCATTTTATCAAAATACTCCTTTTATCCATAACCATACAGAACATTAAAGCTGGATGGGAGCTTTCAGAACAACCCAAAACAGCGAGTACAGATCCCGGGTCGATTTGTTTGGAACCACCTTTGATCGTGACACTGATTCTTGGCTCAAATCAGGATTAGTCTCTCCAAGAAACTAAATTTAACTACCATATATTGACCACAGGCATTTTTTTCTCTATAACGCCTCCAAAGTTGATTATTAGCATCCTTTCCTATTCTCAGAAATTAGGATGAGAAATGCATTTTCCTGTGATTAAAAACCATTGATTAACACATTTTACTTGGTGTTATAGATCACAAATGATGATTAAAACCAATCTCAAGTGCAATATTTAGAGGGAAGAGAAAAGAGCCCATTTACTTTGGTTATTATTATTTCCTCAAATCTGTCTGTACTTCAAAACAAAGTACCTGACAGCTGGCACAGACTCATGCTGGCATGAATGACTGAGGTTCCCAGGGGACACATTTACACTACAGCAGCCAAGAGGTCAGATAACTGGCAAGCTTGCCCTGAAGCAAAGCATCTAATGTTTCTGATTTCCCTAATGAGCAATTAACGCGTGCCTACAATGGTGGATTGTAGCGACACACTGTTTATTGTGGGGTCTGGAGAGGTCAAAGAGCAAGTTATCTTCATAAATCAGAGGTCTGGATAACAGCTTTTCTTTTACTGTTTTGTCAGATAAATTTGTTTTAACTGATGAAGTTGTAGGAGGAATATAAACATTAAATAATATACTTAGCTGCGTCTGGAATTCGGGTCTCCTCACCTCTGAGATGTTAGAGACAGTCTCCCCCTGCACCTCAGTGGAACTTAAGATCTCAGGTGAAGTGGTGTCCAGGATCTCCACAGCGATGGAGAGCAGGAGACGGGCTCTGAAGGACACGCCTTCTCCAAGACCCTCATTCAGGTCCTGGTGCTCGTCCATCAGCGTGTACTGACGAGTGGAACCGTACATGTTGGCCCAAGCTGGGCCCAGGGTGGGCAGGAACCCTGGACAAGGTTAAAGGAAAAGAAATGTCTATAGGAGATGATGTAGTAATTTTTCTTGTCCATCAGAGTTTACTGATGGGTGGAACCAACATTTCACAGTCGTTATTGTGGTTTACAATCCATATGTTTCTCCAGATCACACAAAAATTCCAGAAAGTCCCCAAATCTTGTTGAACTCTACATTTTAAATCTTCAAAATAAGTTTGAGTATTGTTTTAAGCTCATTTCTGTGCTGCAGAGATCACGTGTTAATAAAACACTGTGGACATCACCATTACTGCATTTTCTTTGCATTTTAAGTTTATAATGTTTCTGTAAGGTTGTGATTGTCATGATGGAAATCAGTAATCACTCTTACCATTTTTTCCTCTGTTTATGTTAATATAAATCATCCACTGCTAGAAATGTAACTATGGTGTGTGAGGAAACTCACAACAAGCTTTCAGAATTCTTCATAATCGATCTTGTACTTTTGTTTAATATGTTAAATTATGTATTGACTGCAAGTCAATATTAATGTCCCACACTAACTTTATACAGCCATTAGCAAAGGGTCAGGTGGGTCATGTGATTCAATTCATAATGTACTGCAGCACAGCTACATACAGTAAAATATTAACTAGTTAAGATGGACTAATTCATTTACCTGACACCTAATCAATGCTATTCAGACTGAAGGAAACAGTTTTGACTTACCTTTGTCACCATCATTTGATATCTTGCGTAGGTCAATAAAGTGGGTTCCTATGGCAACATCGTTGACCTTATCTGAGTCTCGTATCTGGACCTTCATGCGTTTGCAGAGCGGAGGGAACAGCTCAGTGAAGATGACCTGCTCGTTCCAGATGGGTTCATAACTGCTCTTCTGGACTGAAGTCTTCCCCTGGAGACACATGAAGGAGTAACACTTAAATCCAAGGTAGAAAGTACAAATACATTTGTAGTGGTTAGTTTCACGGCTCTAGTCCTTATGTTACAGTAGCCGATACTGTTGATTACATTTTATTAACTTTAAAGGAGCTATTGTACAGCAGAAAAATGGAAGTTCAGGAGTAAATGGAAATTGCTTAAAGGATAGGTTCACAGTTTCTCTTATTCTCATACTGGCATAAAATAAACTGTAAGAGATGGGGGACAAAATCCACAGTACAAGTTTTGTGTAAAAATGCATTTCAAAGTTCAGCAAAAGTTAAAATAAGACTTGGACTTTGGACTGTCCAAAGCTGGAAAAGTTCTGGATAGCCATTTATCAAACACTTAAAGCATACCACTTAAAACCATAAAGTTTTATTAGATCTAGCAACCTTTCCTTTCTTTTCTTCTTCCTTCTTTTTATTTTCCCTTGATTTTATAGGTTATTTATATATGGGACTGTTAATGTGTTAATGTCTGTATTTGAGAACAAACAAATATTTAATAATCCCATGGTGGAGTGATAACAACTGCTAGAAACTAGCAAACAATACGAGATTTTAGGATGTGGAGGAAGTTACTTTCTGCCCAGCAAACTGCACTTGAACGTAGGGGTCCACCAGGTCTCTGTTCTCTCCAATGAAGGCTTTCTTCACATTAGCCATGATGCTGGTGTTCATTTTAGGAAGTCCCTCGGCGCGGTAGATCTTCACATAAAATCTTGCCCACTGCCTCTCTGCTGGGATTCCCTCTGGGAGCAGGAGGTTCCTGGAAACAAACAGCAGCACAACAACTCAGATTGCTTATTACTGATTACATTTAAGGGAAGTAGAAAAGCTTTCTAAAGATACTGGGTGACTATCTTTATAGAAGTATACAGATTTCTGAGAATATCCAGTATTCCTTGCAACTGTAACACTGTTTTAGTATAAAATGCATATCATTATTCATTATTCAAGTCCATCAAATACTGTAATATTTTTAAACTACTGGAGAAAAAAGAAATCTTTGATAAAACGTCGGTCTGTTATGTGTGCATATACTGCAACATTTGTTATACCGCTCTTCACTGGTAAAATGGGAATTTTAGTTGACCACAGTGTTTTTCAAAATCAATTCAGTCTGAAACTGGCACACGAGTGACCGATTATTACCCCTCTATATCGTCTTCATCAGTCTCGTTGGCCTTGTGTGGGGTCTTGATGTTGTCGCCCTTCCCGACCACAGCGATGTCACACTTTATATATCCTTTACACCCCGCTGTTATGTCATCAGGATCAGACAGGATGGCCCACTTGTGGTAAAATTGATGTTCTAGGATAGATGTCAATCAGTTAGGACTATGCCTGTATGTTATGATGAGTTATTAGATTTATATCAGAGCTATGGTTTGTAGTTTACCAGGCTGAGAGTAAACAGTCCCAACATCCATCTTGAACGTTCCCACCAATGTCCCACTCCGAAGAAGATTTTTAGAGTGAATAACCTACAGAGACAGAGTTGAATGAAATATTAAAATAAAAAGCAAACCCTTGAAAGCTCAGTATTGGATTGGAAGCGGCACTAAATAATTCAGAAGCATGAGTGTTTTACGGGGAAACAGATGGCTACACATTATGTTTAACAAGGGGCTGCTTAATGTCTTCACCATGTTACTTTAAACATAACCAGCTACTCTCTCGGATAATTAATTAACGCAATTAAGGCAATAACCAGCAATATTGTTTTATATATTCACACTGATCTATACATAGCAAAGGGAAGTTATATATTATTTTCTGTTAATCTACATCATAAAGTATGAAGGAGTTATATTTATGATCCTCATCAACACTGAGAGCTCTAAAATCTAACCTAAAATGTAAATATAATCACACAACCTGTGTACAAAAAGGTGGTAAAAGTTTGTTTAGCTGTTCTGAAGTGTGCAATATCAGGGTATGGATTACTTACTGAGAGCTTGATGATCTTGTCAAACATGACATCAGGAGGGACATGGAAGTCAAACACAAAATACTGCAGAGAGTAGAGAAAACGTTTACCCATTAAAATGTATTGACTTGTACTACTGGATAACACGCTCGTCTTTTGGATTTGCTCTGGGAGTAAAATGTGCCACAATCATGATTGTTTTAAGATAAATTTGAAGTTCAGAAGATGCAGAGTCCAACCAAGGAACTGAGGGAGTGAACAGAAATGCAATCTTTTTCATTGTCATCATCTACTATTGTAGCCACATCACAGCTCAAGCCCTTGAAGCTTTCAGTTATTTAGAGACAAAGATGATGAATGGCTTGAAAAGAAATAGATGGTGCATCAAGGATTAGGAGCAAAATAGGTTTTTTAGTTTTGAGTAAGCTCTTTGACTTTCCAATAAGAAATGTCACTTCAAACAGAAGCTACAGTATGTCTTTGGGGCCCCCTGAGTCTTCGGGCTCCTGGGCCTGTGCCTGGTAGTCTTGTACAAATATCTCAACACAAAAGTAGAACCAGGATAAAATGTGTATATTAAATTAAAAACTAAGAAGAAAAAATAGGCGGAACATTCACCTTATAATCTCAATAACCCATACTGTAGGTATGTGTGTCAGGCACCTTTTTCTCAAAACCATGTCCTTCTAACCCAAATAGAAACAAGTGAAATGGGATGACATTGTATTTGTCATGATGATTTTTGAGGTATTATCAGTGAACCTCAAAAGATGATTGTAGTTTTCCATTATAATCAGTTTCAGATGTTTATTCAGAGAACTGTGGAGCTTTCTGGAATACTACGGACTACAGACTGGAGGGTCTGGGCACGAGGAGCAAAAGCTTCAAGGGCTATTATCTTGATCCCTCTGGTTTCTAGTTTGTCTGTCCTCTGGGCCTTTTCAAACAAACAGGAAGAATCAATAGCAGACAAACTGTCACTTCCACTCCCTGCAGGACATAACCCAGAGGCTAATCTCTGCGTGACCCTCACCACAACACTTCCTACTGTTCAGGAACATAAACGCTAGCAAGAACTTTTATTAGAGTGTTATGTGAAGTATTTTAAAGTCAATAACTCATTTCAACATTAAACCATCAAAGAGAACACTGAGGACATTGCATTTTATTTTGTAGATTTTCTGGTTCAAAGAGAGCAGGTACTGACTTACGTCATCATGTTAAGAAACACCTGCTCTCACTTACCATGCCACTGACATGAGATACATTTACTGTATGCTAACAATCATCCTACTTATAATCTTATTTAGAGTATACACATCTAGTTATTGCAATTTATCTGTTTATCTACAGAGGCTATTTAAATCACACAGATTACTGTGATTACTGTGTGGGTGAATATAACAATCTTTTTTACATTTAGTTGCCAAATATTGTTTAACTGGCAATTGTGTCTCAAGCTTGTTGCAGGTCTGAGAATTTATTTTCTTAAATCAGCATTAGCTAAAACAATATGAAACAAAACACTGACATAACTTAAATTGATATGGTTGCTAGCAAACATTTAAGAACAGTTTCGCTGACAACAGAGTGAATGTTAACTAAAACAATAAGCTGAGAGACACTAAAATGCTCTGTAGAGCTGAGCCTCTGGTGATAATTCTCTGCAAGTTCATCACTATGAGCGCCTTCCTTTTACGTACTGTACAAGCAGTCATGTGATGCATTGTTAAATATTGATTATAGCTGCTTTAAATCACCACTGGATTTGCAAAATGAACCATGCATTCACCTTTCTTTTGAGGAATACATCAGTTTTTGTGTACACTTAATTTACAGTACAATGAAATTTGCGCACCATGGCATCATGCTTTTACCACAGCAGTTGAGTCTAATCCAATCTGTGTCACAAATCTCAGTCGAACCTGAATGTTGGCCACAGTGTGATTTAAAGCAGGTTAAATCAACTTAAAAGCATGACCAGAGTACTGCACAGGTTAGAAAAATTGGATCAGCCTTGGGAATTCAATTGTTTTTATGGGAGAAGCATTACATGAAGAATAGGAGGGACAGAGTGAATCTGGCATTTAGTAGTAAAGATAAAGTCAGTTTATATATAAAAATGTGTCAATTTCCCTACTTGCAGGATACATTTTTAAAGCTTGAAAGGTCTCACCTCATTGTAGTATGGGCAGTTGGTGGACTCCTTCATAGACGTGTACTTCTTTTCATCACCAATCTCAACACACACCACCGGGTCCATGTTAAGGCCTATCAGCTGCCGTGCCTCAATCACCGTGATGCTGATCTGATGGGGAACATCAGCACATCAGAGATGACTCTTTTCTCCAACAGTGAGTTATAAAGCAACAAATACCATCATCATAAATCAAGCAGCTATGCAGAAATTACCCCAAGGACAATAGAAAGGCAAAACACAAAACTGATCTTTCACAAACTCTAATGATTCTGATTCCAGGCAGTAAGAGCTTTTGGTAGATGTTTTCTTAGCTTTTGATTTTACTCTCCCCAGGCTAACGTAATTTAGCATTTGATAGACCAAGTAGATCCAAGCTAAAGACTCCTACATCCAAGAAATATCCCTCTGGTTTAATTAGTTGTTGAATAATGAAGAGGAACAGAGAAAAACAAAGAGAGTAAGAGAAGATGAGTCTACAGCCTACAATTACACCAAGATTTCAGTATGCTGTATAAATGTATTCATGTTTTTAGATAAAATAGGCCATGAAAATAGGCCATGGGGTAGCACTGGAGGACAGTTAACACTGTGTGCACAATTATTCTGTTACTTGTTTTCATTGACGTTGTGGTAAATTAATTCAGTGCCGTAGTCACAGCAGACCAATAGCCATGATTTTAAAGAAAACAAATATGCATAGTTGTGGATATATTATTATCACACACACACACACA